ACATTTTACCGTTGTTGCAATGTTGTAACGACGTTGCAGCAACATTTTGCAACGTTTTTGCAACATTGCAATCTTGCAAGGAAAGATTGCTACAATTTTGCTGCAATCGTTCTGTGCTGTATGGGTTATTATGGAAATTAAGACAGAGAAAACAGATGGAATAAGATTATACATACAAATGTTTTATTTGTTATTATAATATAAAAAAAAGGAACACATTACAATGTTTATAACGTAATGTAAGAAAAGAAATATATTACAATGTTTACAAATGTGTAAAACGCTAAAAGTATGCACCGATCTGGCACGCACTATTTGAATACAAGTACGAATATGCACCACGAACTTGTGAAGTTAATATTTCGTTAATCTGCACGAAATTGAAGTTATGCATGTTCGTACCTGTCACCTGAGGTACCGAGCATATTTAATGTAGTGGGGATAAGTCAAGACAAATGTCTCTGTGCAAACGCCAGCAATTTGAAAATTTTCGCGGTGCAAATTCGCACTCTTGTACTATTTGAAGGTTAAAAATGACTATAAATTGTAGTTAAATTGTAGTAATTTTACACAGTTGATTTGTATTAAATTTAACACATCTTACATATCCCAAACGGTCTATTCAAATTTTTGTGTTATTTAACACAATATAAACATATTAAAAAGTAACACAAACATCATATAAAAATTAACACAAAAATTCTAACATTTTCATACAATTTAGAAATAATTTTAAAATATATTTTTTTTACAAAAATTAACACGTACATATATTTTTTATTCATTTATCTTAAATTTTGCGTTTTAAAACTGCATTATTTTTTTCTATAATTATTTACTTACTGATAAGATGTTTTAAAATTTTTTTTATTTGTTCACTTACTGATAAATTATATTATTTTAAAATTAAGAAATATTAAATATTAATTTAACACAAAATATTCAAATTAATTTAACATATTATGTTAAATTAACACTCGAATAAATGTTAAAAATTCAATATAAAAATTTAACAAACATTAGACCGCTTTTATCACAAGATTAACATAAAATATTTTTTGCTGTGTAACATTTTTTCTATCAGTAAACAGAACTTTTGTCGAGAGATAAAGATCGTGACGTATGTCACAATTTTAGAGCGTTTTCGTAAAAAGATTATGAACGATAGGTTTCTGTCAAACAATAATGGAATTAAACGTTAATCGACATTTTTCTTAAAATTTCCAGCAAACAAAATGTTACCAGTATACTAGCAGTCTAGTAGATTCGAACACAATATTGCGGCAGATTGACATCGACTGCAGCGTTCGCATTAAACTCGTATTCTGCTAGCAGAGCCTGTCGACGTAATCCGACAGCAGATTGCCAACGGAAACCTAGCAGAATCTATTATTTCGTAATTATTTAAATAGAATCATTTAAATGGTAACAAAATAGCGGTTTTTATAGTCAATCTGCCATAATATTTTACTAGCAAATTTCGTTGTCTTTCTGTTCACACTCTATTGGTAAATATGCAAAACATTTTGACATTTTGCAAAATTTGTTATTGACAGATTTAACTGTCCGAATTTTTTAATAAGAACAATTTAAATTCGCGGATAATAAATAATTGAGTTTTTTCTTGTAAAATGTATAATTTTTTCAATATATTCAATAATATTTATAAATTTAAATAGCACGTTTCTTTCGACGTATCGTAAATCGCAGTTTTTGTTACAGTCAATCTGTTATAATAGCAAATTCCATTGTATTTCTGTTCACACTCTGATAAAATATACAAAATATTTTGACGTTTTGCAAAATTTGTTATTGATTTACAGCTATTCCAATTTTTTTATAAAAACAACTTAGATTCGCGAATAACAAATACTTGAAGAAATCGAGATAATCGAGGAGTTTTTTCTTGTATGAGAACATATAATTCTTTGAATATATTCAGTAAAATATATATATATATATATATATACCTTTTTAAAATAGCACGTTTCTCTCGACATTTCGAAAAAAAAATAAATTTTGTGAAAAGATCGATCACGATGCAACACAATTGAAATACTTACGTCAATTATGATTAAACAGCAGTATTTTCTGCAAAAGTCTAATACTCATTATGACATTAAAGTTAAAATGATGGACAGGAAACGGAATCATCATCTTTTCGAGATCTTTCGCTTTAGACAGATGAATCGAGCTGGGAATCCGTGACGTCATTATTCTGCGCTTATTGTGACCCGTCATTGATCCGTCCGCTTGAATTGAAAACCAACCGTACTCGACTCTTCATCCCGATGCTCTCGAACGTCTATCACAATGCGGTATTATGTGGGAAAGAGAATATAGCATCTACTTCATAAACGGCATCGCATATCAAAGCAAAAAAATTAGACGTATTATATATTCTTCTAAAAATACTATTATCACGATTAAAGTAATCAGAGCGGGTAAAACTCTTATTGATTATACTATTATAAAAATTGCACTAATACAACATTTTTCTTTTATTTTTCTTTAACACTATTCCGTTTAGAATCTGATCGTAGAAAAATTTAACACTTATTTAATACACATGTGTATATATCTATTTTTTAATTATTCGATAACGATTCACCGAGCACGAGATAAGACGCAAGGAGATAGTTAAATTATTTGAAAAATGAAATCTCTATTAATATACGTCCCCATTTTAATTTTCTCATGTTTTTGAGAATTACATTATAATTAGAATTGCAATTGAACGTTACCCGCATAAATATTCTATCGCCAGAGACGATGATGTATTCTTTGACTCTCTTGATTCGAATAAGGGGATAATTATCGATTCTTAACCGCGGCATTATCGGAAACCATGGATCTGTCACGTGCAGACCGCAGTATATTAGATGCGAGGGGCATTAAGCGATAGGTACAGTGCGTTGCTTGTCAGTCACTATAAATTGTCGGTCGATCAACACGTGATAGCCTTTACTCGTTAATTATCGAAATATAAAGCGGATACTTACATTCCATTAATTTAACCGCAATTTAGCCGCTAACGAGGCACATTGAGGCCTGGTAATCTCGGTCACTAGTAAACTCGATTATTTGTATTTTCACGCAAGATAGCCTTTTGAT